AGCTCCATGATTAGGTTTCTTAACACGCTTAAGTTAACCTTAATAATGTCAAATTAAATGTTTTACTTTGAAGCACATTTTAAATTGTTATATTTTGTAATAATCTTTTGTCATGCTTTAAAAAGTACACTTATTGTTACTGACTAACATACTAATGCACATGTAAAGCACTTTAGTGTGTTTTTCTAATATATTTGCACTAAATTGCAACTTCATCATTACAATTGTGTAATTACAAATATATCTAAAAATACACAACATACAAGTTTCAATACAAATGACATTTAATGTAAATTTTGGTTTACCATTACACTTTAATCCTATTTCAAGTACAAAAGAAGTATTATAAAATTACATATTAAGTGGATCAACAAAGCACTCTAAATTTCAGCTAATTGCATTAAATATACATTATAACATGAATTTTCATTTGAAAATAACACATTTGCAAATTCAAATGAAAATAACACGTAATTACATGTCCAAAAACATTAAACAAATAAGTATGTATATGTATAAATATGAACTGAATGTAAAGTGAATTATTTACATAGTAAGTGCCCTTTTAAAGTGCCCCTATTATGCCATTTCGAATATTGCTTTTCATGCAGTGTGTAATGTAGCTTTATGTGAATGTAAACGATCTGCAAAGTTATAAAGCCGAAAGTGCACGATAAATAACGTTATTGTCTCCCAAAATAAAGAATCGACTCTGAACAGCCTAAACAAGTCGTCAGTAATTCAAATTCCACTTCTGTGACAGCTACTCGTCACTGGGTAACACATTTGCATAATGCCCGTCTATGTTCTACATTTGCCGACCGCGAACAACTTGACCCCGCCCACAAGCACTGCAGCTTGTTCATGTCGAGAAGACTCTTGTGTCCTACGCTGTGAAAGTAAATTTCTTTTTATTTTCAAAAACACTTGCTCTTGAAAAATGGCTCAGTACCCAGTTTATTTGGACCAGATTGCTCCTCTGAATATCAACCGGTAAGTATGATAAATAATAGATGCTTATATTTTGTATCGAGTGTTCCAAATACGGAACTATGGCAATGTGCTGTACGCGGTAGACCAATCACAACAGACTGGGCCATCTGACCAATCAGAGCAGAGGCGGCTCATGGAAAGGAGGGGTTTAGAGAGACTGAATCTTAGAACTGCTTCGAACGAATCGTTGAAAAATGAGGTGATATTAAATGCATATTTTGAGAAAACGAAAGCGTTTTTTGACCTTGCATGCATGTAAACCTATTGTAGGAGACTCCCAAAACAATATTAGGAACTTTAAAAATGGCACAATTGGGGCATTTAAAAAAAATGTATGTTAAAGTATACTTTTTTCACAAGAGAATGGATGGTCAGGTTGAGGTGAATTGCATTGTGGGATACATTAATTAGATATCCTATTCTTAGAGACAAAATGCATACTGTGCATAGTATACACAGACTGCATACTGCAGGAACAGTATGGATATCATAGAAGAATGCTATTCCACACCAAGCCCTTGAGAAAACTGAGAATAACTTTTCATTACCGGATCCATCGTAAAACAGGCTCTGCTCCAGTCAAGAGATGCACCTAGTTTTCTCAGCTGATAATAAATCTCATCCCCCTTTCTGAAAAAAAAGTTGAGTTGAATTAAAAAAGAAAGCAGTCCTTAGTTACCATTTGGACATATAATAATACAATAGATGCACTAGTAGCATACACAAGCCCTAAACCACTTCAAGGATCTGAATGTAAGGACAAAAGAAGGACAGCAAAGACAGACAGACAGACAGAGACTTACTGATTTTTCCATCTCCAGACCTGTTTGAGGAACTCCTCTCTACTGTAGTCCTGTCTGCACTTCCCCTGCTCCCTCATCAGCTTCCTCTCAACCACCGACTAACACACACGGACACATCAGAGATCATTCTGAACAGCTAATATTCATACAAACGGACACCTAAGCATCCTTTTTACTATTTAACAGATGAGGAGATGGGATACCTGTGTTGCAATCCCAGCATGATCGCAGCCAGGAAGCCACAGCACCTTGTAGCCCTGCATCCGGCGCCTGTATAAAATGATCTGATGAAATGGTCTGATCATCTTGGATTAAGAGTCCATTTATAAAGATATTTTATATATGTATTGCTGAGGCATGTTATGTTACAGAGTAATAATCAAAGAGTTCATTAAAATGGTACCAGCGAGCCAAAGCATCTTCTATAGCCACTGTCAGCGCATGTCCGAGATGTAAAGTGCCGGTCACATTCGGCGGTGGAATACATAAGGAGAAATATTTATCAACTGCATGGGGCTGTTTACTCTGAGGAAGAAGATTAAAAAAACAAAAACAAAACATGGTTAAATAATTATTAATCTACTTGCGCTACTGTTTCACTACTTGTGTCAGTAAGATTTTTATGCAATTTAAAATAACTCTTTTCTGTTTAAGTATATATTATAAAATGTCATTTATTGCTGTGATGCAAAGCTGAATTTTCAGCATCATTACTTCAGTCTTCAGTGTCACATGATCCTTCAGAAATCATTCTAATATGCTGATCTGTTCAAGAAATTTTTCTGATTATTATTATTAATGCTGAAATGCTGAAATTAATGCTGTTTCACATTTTTGTGGAAACCGTGATATTTGTTCCCGGATTCTTTGATGAATAGAAAGTTCAAAAGAACAGCATTTATTTTAAAACAGAAATCTTTTGTAACATTATAAATGTCTTTACTGTCACTTTGAATCAATTTAATGCATCCTTGCTGAATAAAATTTTTTTTTTTTATCTTACAGAAGCTAAACTTTTGAACAATGGTTTCTATATTAATTCATTTATTTATTTGTTTTAACATATATTGTGTACTTCAGATTTTAAAGTCATGAGGAAATTGACATTTTTTGGATTAACATTGAGGAAGACAAAAATGTAGGATAGAGACTATATATATATATACAGTACACACACACACACACACACATACAGGTGCATCTCAAATTAGAATGTCATGGAAAAGGTAACTGCTCCCTCACATGCTGCTCAGGACTGAAGAATCCCTGTTTCTCCCACCACTGATACCAGCCAAACTCCACATATTCTGGGCTGTAGGATTGTGGGAAGGGCAGAGTGGTGTCTAAAAGAGAGGACGTTTTGAAGACATGGGAATACAGAGATAGCAACAGACATCTATAATAACTGCATTAGTCAGACACTATGAAAAATCCAGAGCATCAAAGAACAGTAACGCATGACAAAACAGGAAGAGGAAAAGCATTCTGTTACCTTTCTTCTCTCCAGGTACGAGTGCAGCAGTGTATGTTATTTTCTCTTTATCTGACCAGCTCAGTCCAGGATCATTAACATGCTGCAAGGGTTAAAGTCGTGTTAAGGCTTTATGGCTTTAAACCAAATGACACATGCATTTTGATATGTATAACCCACACTACTGAGTATGGCCTTCTCCCGCGCTTGTCTGCGTTTGGCTTTCTCTGCTTGTGTCCTGGGATGATGTGAAGGCTGTGTGTTAGATGAGCTTTGAGAGCAGAGCCTGCATCCCCATGTGCTCCAGGCCTTCTGAAGACCTCTGCTCCAGATTCTGGGTGACGCCACATGCACTGCCATCCACATGTCCTGAAATCTGGAGCCTTTCAGACTGAAACTAATGTGAAAAGATGAACAACAATTTGTCTTTTAAACTAAATGTGATCAACCTTTTTTTTTTTTTTGTAATTATTTAATTTGTGCATTACATTTGAAAATTTTAGTAAAGAAACAAAACAAAAATGTTAAACTTTTTTTTAGACATTGCACCATGGTATTTTTTGTTACTAAAACCTAAAGGTATTATGAAACTTACACATTAAAAAATAGAAATGGCAAATAACTGAAATAAGTAATTAAGTACTAAAAATAAAATATATATATACATATATATCTATAGAAACTTACATAGAAATATTTAAAAAGTGTTTTTATAAATATCAGTTGAAAAAATGTAAACTAAAAAAGCTGGCTACTATTCAAATAAGTTTTGGTAACTACTTACAATACTAAAACCTAAAATCTAATTAAATAAAAATTAAAAGTTATATTGACATTAAAAATAAACAAATAAAAATGACAAAAGCACATAATGAAATGACTAAAACTTAGTTAAATAAATAATTTAATTTAAAAAAAATGAGAGCCAATTCAAAATATAAATAAATACTATTATAGCATATAAATAATAAGAAAATAACACTGCTTGGAGTATCATGTAAATGTAATAGAACATGAATATGGTAATCATTGAGTAGTACAATGGTATAACAAAACAATACATAAAATAAGAAACGCATGCAAATACAGGGTCAAATGTGTTTGGCAATGAAGGTTCGTGTTTTAAAAAAATATTATGAATATATGCATTCTGCAACTTCATGACATACATCTTTTATAGTATACACATCTAATAGTATGAACAGAGAAATGCTGCATATGAAAATGACAAATAAAAGGTCTAAAAGGAACGTACCTTCACTCAGTGTGTGCTGTCACAGGGGCGCAGACATATTGCGGATACGGCAGTGGTTTTTCCCACTAATATTTTTAGGTCTAAAATTCCATATGACTTAAAATGTTTTGATAAAATACGCAGACGAGTGACTAATAAAAAAAGCTGCAAACAATCAAAGTTAAATTACACTGGATTATACTTCCTTCTCGCTATACAAGTTCTCGTAGCGTCCGCTGTTTCCTATCGGATAGTTTTTAAAGGAACACTCAGCGGCTGCGTCTCAAGAGCTAACGAGCTGCCTATATAGACAGCATTAGTGAGCATCAATGGTGCGTTGCGCGTTCCAAGATCGTTGCATTTTTTGGTGTTTTTTGATTCAACACAGCATATTTAGAAATACAATTCAGCTGAACTGACTCCAAGCAACTATATTGTCTGAAAATCCTGTCTAGGTAGTCAGCTCACTTTTTTTGAAACACAGTCAACTTCGGGAACCGGTCCGTCCGTAAATGCGTCCTTCCGAGGAGTTATTAGACTGGCGCAAATTCATCTCATGCATTCGTCTCTGATTCATATTGCGTCCAGCTCGACATTCTGACGCGCCAGCCGAGAGCTGAAGTCGTCGTTTTTTAATATCTTTTAAACGGAGAGCAGACTTTCGTCGATTTAAGGCGACCGAGCGCCGCTGTGAAGGTTTATTCGGGATTCATCAGCGCTATGGCGGAGGTACAAGGTACGTCGAGTGAGACGATAACGGAGACCGTTCAGACGGGCACACCGCCTCCACCCCAGCAGGTACTCTGCCCTACTTACTGTAGACACCATCACTAACCACATCTACCCCGAATCATTCAGGTACAAGAACTGAGAGCCCGCAGCCCGAAGGCTCTTGCGATTAACTAACGTTAATCGTTTTGTAGTTAGCATATCGAGTAGTTTAAATAGACTGACTAGATACCAGCACAAGGCCTGTTTAGTAAGCAACATGTTCATCAGGGATTGTGTTCTCAACTGGTTTGGCAGTGTGTTATGATCACAAGTTAACCCACATCACAACAGAAATCCACCTGAAAATTTCCCCTTAGAGATATTTACCTGGTAACCGCTATTTTCATGTTAGTTACTACAACTGTTATTGTTACTGCCGTAAAAAAAATAAATTAAACTGTGAAAGCTTTTTACAGCACTTAAACACAAACACTTTTATAACACTTACAGCACAAAAAGTGCATGGGATAGTACTAGTTATTACAGTTAACTAAAGCTAAAACCTTAAAAATAAACATTTTCGTTACTTAAAAATAAAATAACCGTTAACTAAAATAATTAAACGTATTTCAGCTGGTTGCCAAGGCAACTTTTCTCATTTGCATGCAAACATTTTCGTTTAGCTTGATGTACAAAAAACTAAAATGAATAAAAACTATATTAGACATAATAT